TAGAAGATCACCAGCTGATCGACCCCGACGAAAACCGTATTGGCGGTCACTGATCAGCTGGTGATCCTCAAGGTACCGGATGAGCTGGCAGTTAATAATGGATTCCATTATTTTGGAGAACAAAGAGGTGATCGCGATAGGCCTATAGTTGGACGGGTCTGAGCGGTCGCCTTTTTTAGGGATCGGGTGGACAAAAGCTGTCTTCCATGAGTTCGGGACAACGCCATGGGAGTAGGAGTACCGGAAAAGACGCGTTAGAACCGGTGCCAACTCCGGAGCACACGTCCTCAGCACAATTGGGGGGATTCCGTCAGGCCCACTCGACTTGTGGATGTCAAGGGAGAGGAGTGCTCTGCGAACCGAGCGCTGTGAGAATAGCACATCCGGCATAGAGCACTCACACCGCGGGATGGTCGGCGGTGTGTTCCCCCCGTCATCAACAGTCGAGTTGGACGCAAAAAGGGAGCCTAAAAGGTCGGCCTTCTCTTTTGCGTCGTGGGCCAGTGAGTCGTCCTCCCTGTGCAGAGATGGTAGTGATGGCTTACAGAAATTCCCTTGGACAGCCTTGGCGAGAGACCAGAATGCACGGGTTCCCGAAGGAAGGCGAACTAGTTTCTCGCCAATTCTGCCTATGTGCTCTGACTTTGCCTTGGCAATAACTCTTTTGAAGGACCTGGAGGCGAAGTTATACTTCTTTTTAAGTGTGCTGGTGTTTACATCCCGAGTCACCGAAGCCGCAGCCCAGGCTTGATAACACTCCTGCTTTCTGCGCAATGCAGTCTTACAGGAGCGACCAAACCAAGGCTGAGACCTGCCTCCGATGGGTACCACAGATGATGGAATAAATAGTTCCATTCCCTGTAGCACCACATCAGTGACAGAGTCAGCAACAGCGCTGGGATCATCCGGCGAGAAGCAAACCCGCCCCCATGGGTAGGATGCAAAGAAAGACTTCATTCCGTCCCAATCCGCCGACCTGTAATGCCAAACACGGCGGCAACCTGCAGAACGCAACCGCAAAGGGAGCGTGAGTGGCACCATACTCCGGATCAGACAATGGTCCGAAGAGCCGAGAGGGGCATCGACGGAAACCTGATATCCGTCCGGATGAGAGGTCAGCAGAAGGTCCAACAGGGAAGGTGTATGATCCTCAACATCTGGAATCCGCGTAGGCGAAGTAACCAGTTGTGTCAGACCATATGCCAAAGCAAAGTCAGAGCTTTGCTTTGGCATATGGTCTGACACAACGTCAGAGCGTCCTTCTTCTCTTTGTATGTCAACATCCTTTTAACCACCTATAGTCTAGTGGTTGTAGTAACTATAGTTTTGAAGATTTCGTGATTACTCAGCCAAAATGTAATTTAGTAGTATTTTAAAGTTTGATAGAATTTATGTCAGATCCTTGAACTATAACTAAACTTTATCTAATAAAATTAAATATAAATAACAATACATTAATATATCCTATCAACGCTTAAATTTGGTAGAGTTTTAATTAAAAGAATAATATACGAATTAGATAGTTATTTTTACGTGTTTTATAAATTCATAACAGCTACTTTAACACAAAATATTAACACACCTTTTTTCTCAAATTACGGGCCACACCTTGTGGAGACAACCATGGAGATAACGAACAAAATCGGCTATGAATTTCTTATTATTTAATGTAATACTTGATTTGCCCTGACAAGCGTTGTTTAACTGATTAATGCATAATAAACATAGGCGGTAGTCACTTCGGTCGAGAGTCGTCATTTCTGTCGACAAAGTAGTCGACAGAATTGACTTCGACAGAAGTGACAAATTTTAATCTACTTAAGTTAACTCCTACAATTTAGTGGTAATACTATCCATTGTTGTTTCGGAACTACGTGAAACCTTTTTTCTACAAGGCTGTGTGTGGCGATTTATTTTATCATGTTAGTAACCTTTTATTTTTTTCCTCTAAGAAGTGACTCTTCAACTTTGACACACTTGTATAACCTCTTTTCAATTTAAAATTTTCAGCAGCTCGCTTTTGTTCCAGCAAAAAATGTGACTTATCACTGACAGGTATGCCATAATATGCACTAATATTGCCATAAAAAGCAAAACAACATTGAAATAATAAGCTTTCTGATTCTAGTATTCAAAACTTTACATGTCGACAGTTGTGACAAAAAATTTATAACGCTTGTAAAAACATCAATATCTTTTATAATTGTGTGACATAATTTTTAAAAGTCTTTTAATCTTAATGTTAAGGACAGGTATCGTTTCAAAAATTATAAGTTTAGTTAGTAGCTTAAGAATTTATATTTTTAAGTAACCTTCAGAGGGCGTCGGCGAACAGTCGACAGACCATGACACGTCGCGTATTGTCGACACGTTTTTATTCATTAAATCATCACTTATCTATAAAGTAATGAATGTCAAATATAGATGATGATGTCCCATTTATTATGACAGCAAATAACGAATCAGGAAGTCGTATTCATGAAGTTACATTACGCGAACATAAATTTCTCAGGTTCGTAGAATGACCCTTATGTCAAAATAAATAAAAATTATTATTATTATTATTATAAACGATATGTATTAATGCTATCATAATCAAACCTGAAATTTCGCCAGTGCAGCTATTTCTTGTAGAGGAGTAATATTTGATTCCAAAACTATTAAAGCAGAAAGAAGGATGTGCGCCATCTAGTGAGGCGTTTGGCGGTGTTTCAACCCCGTGCCTCGAAGAGTACTTACAACCGTTGGCCCTGCGAATGATCTCTCTCTGTCGTGACACATAACTTTCCCATCGAACTATACATACACTATTACAATATTATATTTGAGTCACCACACCGTAGAGTCTGCACAGCTCTGGTTTTAGTCGAAAGAGTAAATAGAACCAGTAGAACACACACACTCCCTACGCCTGTCACCTAGAGAAGTAGGCCGAGACTACCGACTTCCATTTAGCATGATCCTGACACTCTCGCTCTCGCCTAGATATGCAGTCATTTAGGAGTATGCTAGGGATACATCTGAATGACAGGGTGAGAAATAGTGTGATAAAAGAAAAGTGTGGTTTGTAAGATGACGTTGTGACTAGGATTAAGAAAGGAATGCTTCGGTGGTTTGGTCATGTAGAAAGAATCTACGAGGAAAGAGTGACAAAGCAAATTTATGTTGCAGAAGTAAACGGCAGAGTCAGGAAGGGACGCCCTAGATGAAAGTTTATCGACAAAATTGGCGATATATTGAAAATCGGCCAAATTAGGAGTACCCATAACCAGTATAATTAGGCTCTTAATCTTCAGAGATGATATATTTACGTGGTACAGCCATGCTGCAGCTATATTACTGGTAAAGTTGTAGCACGAATGGGTCGGCTCGATCGGGGAAGGACAACGCTCTCACAGAATACCAGCGTAAAATAGCAGCATAACGCTGCTGTGTTTCGTATGGTGAGTGTAGAGAACCGGAGATCCTTTTTACTGAAAACGAGGCATTCCATCTTAGTCCTCACGGGTGACAACGCATCTGCATTTTGATTCGTAATCGAGGATAGATGTAGATGTCTATGAGCCACTGCAACCACTTACCATCAGGTGGACAGTGTGCCCGTTTGTCACCCTAATTCTATAAAAAAAAGTTGACAACCTTCTTTGTTTAAAGTTGGTTGCAGGTTTGTCACTTCAGGCTATGAAAAATAACACTTAACATAGTTTACTAATCTATTTTTCTAATTGTTTACTAATCTACTCGTTAATGGAGGTGGTCGAAAAATAAAATAAATTTCACACCACTTAAAGTTCTCCAGGGCAATCTGAACCACTGCCGCAATGCACAACATCTGCTTATGCAGACCATTGCGGAGTGGCGGAGCCCTATTCTGTTCCCGACCATCCTCGCTGGTTCGGTGATGAATTGGGATCTGTAGCCATCTACTGGGGAAGTGCAGAAGAAGCCCCACCCTGCGCCCTATTCAGAAGGGGGTTGGGCTTCGTTGCAGTGCAATGGGGCCCCCTGGCCATAGTGGGCTGCTATGTCTCTCCCAATAGGTCCCTTGCCGACTAATAGGTGTACCTAGACGAGGTGGCGAATTGTGGTCGTGAATGTCAACCTCGTCCGTTGATCGTTCTAGGAGATTTTAACGTCCACACCAGGGCTTTTGGCAACTCCAGAGACGATCCGAAGGGAGAGACAGTGATGGAATGGACGGCTGGGCTGGACCTCCGATTAATGAATCAGGGGTCCGTAAGCACATGTGAGCGGTGGCAGGGGGAGCCCATCGTAGATCTTACGTGGGCAACTCCTCCTGCAATGCAAATGCTGTCGGGCTGGCGAGTGGCGGAGGAGGCGGTCACACTGTCCGACCACCGCCACATCATATTCGATGTCGCACTTCGCCAGCCCGACAGTAACCCCAGTCGCCGAGGGCACAGCCCACCGCGGCGTTGGTGTCTTAAGCGACTCGATCGGTATAAGCTGGAAGCCGCCGCCATCGTCGCGACCTGGCCGAATAACGCCGAAGAGGTTCAGTCCGATCCTGAAGTGGAAGAATACTGGTTTCGGGGTACGATGACTTAAATTTGCGACCTGTACATGCCCAGAACCAGTCGCCCCAAGCGTAGAGCAGTATACTGGTGGTCGGCATAAATCGCACGGCTCCGTGTGCTCTGCTAGCGGAGTCGGCGCCAGTACACCAGTATACCTTTCTTACGACGCTCACGGTAAGATGAGGGGTACGTTTAGCTTACACCGCATATACACGGTCAATTATTCATAAAAATACGTTAATATATCTCGTAAGAAGCAGTGATGGATAACTAGCATCATAATTGTATATAACTGCTAAAAAATCAAGTAAAATAAATAATACGGGTCAATTTAAAAAAAAAACTAGCGCAATTGCCTCAACCCGCATATAGCTGTAATAAAATTTATTGTAACAGTAGAAATTGAGATAACAGATTCATATTTTAAATGCCATTATAGAAGAGGTGAAGTCAATTCACAAAATGACTCCAAACGGCGGCTACGTTATGTCTCTATTGGTTTTATTCTTCGCTATATTCAAAAGTACGTTGGGGCAGAACTGGGCCTTCGAAATCGATAAAGACCCATCATCCAAAGATTATCCCCGGGACTCACTTTCAAATTTTACTGAATTTGCGAGAAATTATGGATACACAGCTGAAGAACATACCGTAATAACAGAAGATGGGTACATCTTGTCGGTGTTCCGGATACCGAAGGGCAAAAATTGTAGAGGAAAGATAAGGCAACCCCCGGTGTTGCTTATGCACGGGCTGTTACAGAGTTCGGATTCTTGGTTAGACGCCGGTCCATCAGCTGGCCTCGCGTTTCTTATATCGGACGCGTGCTATGATCTGTGGGTTGGAAATGTGCGTGGCACGTATTATGGAAGAAGAAATGTTCGTCTCAATCCAGATACAGACCCACAATTTTGGAATTTTACCTCGCATGAAATGGGAAAATTAGACGTTCCAGCTATTATTGACTACATGCTGAGCGAGACGGGATTTTCGGAATTAAATTATGTTGGGTTCTCACAGGGTGGCCGGATATTTTTCATCATGTGCTCCGAAACTTCTGGGTACTGCGACAAAATAAAAGTTTCCATAATGCTAGCTCCAGCGGCAAGAGTAAAGTATATGAGATCTGTACTTGTACAGTTGTTAACTCGGTTTTATCCGGTAGTAGAACCACTTTTTAGTCCACGTGAGTTGGAAGTTTTTCAAAAAGGAGGATTTATTCAAAAACAGGCTTCTTTCTTTTGCAAAGATAATATTTTGGCAGGAACTGTGTGTAGAGCAGCGTTGACTTTAATCGATTCTTATGATCCAGGCTCAATATTAACTCAAACGATAAGAGTGTTGTTTGGACATTTTCCTGGTGGAACGTCAGCTCGAAATTTAGCTTTCTATGGTCAAACTGGAATGGCAGGTAGGTTCCAAAAGTACTATTATGGCCCAAGTAAAAATTTGGAATTGTATGGCAGCGTTCAACCACCTCTTTATAACCTCAATCGTACCAATATTCCTGTTGTATTAATATATAGTGAAAACGATATATTGGTCGATTCGAAGGCTGTTCTATGGCTTTCGACTCAACTGCCAAATGTGTTAGAATCTTATCAAGTAAGCCGGCTAACATGGACTCACTTCGATAACTGCTATAGTCAATACACAAACGAAACAATTTTTCCAAAAATCCATGAATATTTACAGAAATATAGTAAAGATGTTTCTGTATAATGGTAATTTAATAAGTGATGAATAAATTACTCGATATGTTCTTCAATTTTGAACCGATTTTGGTGACATATTTTGGGTGAACCTATACAAATTTTGAATAAAAAATTCTATTCCTTAGAGTGGCATAATATTGGATAAAGTTTTGAATGGATTTATTTAGTCCACATTTAATTCGAGATACTCTTTATTTCACTCAAAGGGTAAAAAATTAACTTTTATTAAAAAGTAAAATCGACTTCCAACAAACTAAAAACAGTGCTAACACATATTTTATAGAAGTATAACGACCTCAGTGTGTGAAATTATCTTATTATTTTTAGTTGTTTGAAGTCAGTTTGCAGTTTTTATTAAAAGTTAGTTTTACTTTACTCCGCTTAGAACAGCTCATCAATCCTCACTCAAGGCTTACAGAAATAAATCTTTTGGAGTGAAACTGAGTGAGGATAGTGCAGTCCAGGAAGATAAGAGCAAGAAACTTTTTTTAAATTTTAATTTACAATGTAATATTTTGTACAATTAAATAGAATAAAATTAACTTCATATAAACACAGTCACACAATTCGTATTTACATTATACTTTAAAAAAGATATAATATACAAATTCTGGTTATGAATATATTATAATAGAATGAAATATTTTTATACAATATAGTTTAGGAATAATTCTTATTAAAATAATTTTTTTTTGATTACTGGTTCGGAATAAATACCTCTGAACTGGGAAGAACTAGCAAGAAACACAAACAGTTGAACTGTATTAGAGATGACTTGTATATTTTCTGGGACTCGTAATAATATCATATAATTTACTTATTTCTATTTCAAGCAGAAACTGTTTTAATTATTTAATTGAACATCTTGGTCAATTGTCGTAGTAATCAATAGGTAAGTCAATATCCGAATGTTTATTTTTTATAGGGATTTCTTATATTTACGCGAAGACTACACATTAAATGAAACTAATTTTTACGGATTTTATCGCGTTTAATTTAACTTTTTAATTCCCGACGTTTCGTCTCGCATGTTCTCTCAATTATTTTATAGTTAAGTTAAGAATATTAATAAGTTTTACACAAGAATTACTAGTATACTATATTACATTAATGACTTACCTCACATAGTTGGGGATAACCATGATATAGTATTATTTGCAGATGACACTTCTTTAATTTTCAAATTAAGTCGACAGTTACTAAAATATGACGAAGTAAATAATGCTATATCTAAATTAGTAAATTGGTTCGATGTTAATAATTTGCATTTGCACTAAACAAAATGTATGAAATTCGTGACTCCAAATGTCAAACAATTAAATACTAATGTAATTTTAAATGGGGAGAAACTGAGTCTTGTAGATACCACCATTTTTCTTGGATTCACACTAGACGCGAAGCTTCAATGAAGCCCCCATATATCAAAACTAGCAAGCAGACTTAGTTCTGCAGCATATGCTGTAAAAAAGATTAGAAGTCTAACCAGTGTTGAAACAGCTAGACTAGTTTACTTCAGCTACTTCCATAGCATAATGTCGTATGGTATTTTGCTATGGGGACACGCAGCTGACACTGAAATTATATTTGTTTTACAGAAGAGGGCCATAAGAGCAATTTATGATTTAAAGCCTAAAGAGTCGCTGCGACAAAAATTTAATATATTTATGAAAATGTAATGTACGTACACAAAAATAAAAGTAGTTTTACAAAAATAAGTGATATTCATTCTGTAAATACTAGGAACAGACACAAGCTAGTAGTAGTACCAGTTACTCGACTCCATCGAGTCAGTAATTCATTCTTGGGGCGATGTATACGTTTTTACAACAAAATCCAGAAAATATACAAAGTTTGACCTGTTCAAAGTTCAAAAACTTTATTAAACTAAGTTTGTATAAAAAGGGTTATTATAATATTAAGGAATTTATGGATGATAATAACCCCTGGAAATGAGGTGATCGCTACCAAGCTATTTCTAATTTCTTGTGTTGTTAATTTGTGTAACATCATGATTGTAAGCTGTTATTTAAAAAAAGTCCCGCTGGGTTTCTTGCTGGTTCTTCTCAGGACAGAGGTTTTTTCCGAACCAGTGGTAATCAAACAAAAGAGTGACTTTCAATAAGAATTATTTATAATCTATATTGAATAAAAAAGTTTCTGTTTCTGTTTCTGTTTCTATCAATATTTACCTTTATTACATCTGGCGTTTTGAAACAAGAAACTTTTTGTAACGAAGTTCCCTATTGGACGGTATCGGTACGTGATTGGCGGATGAGAGCTAGGCGACAAAAAGTGTAAGATTTTTTCGTCACTACCCCTTGTGTCATAGTGTATTTTTTTGAAATGAAGCTTCATTTTAATAGACGCTAGTAATACATTTATTTGTATTTGTGAATCAATAATATAATACGTTTATCAATAATGAGGAACTACGTTGCAACCGAGTGCTCCACGACACTCACGCATGTTTTTTTTTATCTAGACCACAACACTGTATAAGTCAAGTTCGAAAAATGAAATTTCGTCGTACCACGTAAAAGTTAAATAAATAAAAATATCATCTTCGGCCTCTCATTCTATTTGCGATAATTTCATGTATGTGCACATAACAAGCTTTTCAATAGCTATATTTTTGTAACACGAATAGGTCGACTCGACCGCGGAAGGATCGTGCTCTCACAGAATACCAGCGTACCAGCAGCTTAATGCTGCTGTGTTTTGTGTGGTGGCTGTAGAGAACTGAAGATCCATTTTACTGGAAACGAGGCATTTCATCTATGTCCTCAGGGTGACAACGCAGTTGCATTTTGTTTCATTACCGAGGATAGATGTTTTTGTTTATAGGCCACAACATCCACATTCCTCGAGATGGACTGTATGCCCGATGTAGATAATTAAGAGAATATAAAACGTTATAATATTGAAACACGTGCAAAGAAAATAATAGCAATGTAAATATAACGAAACGATTGTTTGCTTCTTAATAATTTTATGAGGGTTGTTTTAAATTAACATAATTACAGTAACTTTGGTCCAACTTGAGTTTTAATGGGAACCATCGTTCATCATATTTTTAATTAATTATAAGCCTAATAACGATTCCATTGATCACCTTAAGCTTTGCCACCCTATAAAACCAAAACTAGGAGGAAGACAGAAACAAAAACACTAACAGTATGCTATAACTAATATATTATTAAGAAAAAATAGCAAACAAGCTTTGGCAATTATTAGGAATTCTTTAAAAATTGTATTTATAAAAAACTAACTACACTACACAATACTAAAGTCGACAAAAATTTTTACTATATTGTCAACTATCAAAATGGTCTCGATAAAGCGAGCTGCTTTGTCGATGCCATTTTGAAAGTTAACAATATAATAAAAATATCTTTTGGACCATTTATTATTTAATTAATTGAGAGCTATCGTACTATACCACCTATACAAACTAGGCTGTAGTTTTTGAGTTTTAAGTAAGTGACTATATTAAACGGGTGGCCATATTACCCTTACGTACTATAGTCACAGCGGTGACACTCTCTGTACATGAGAGCTCGAGCGCCAGTGCCATTAAGCCGAGCGATTAACGCTAGTGTTGATACCGAACTGAAATGGAATATTATAGACTTGTGCCAAAAAATATACATAGTAGGTATATGTTATATAATGTAAAAATTTCCGACAACAAAATATGCACCACAGTTTAATGGTAATTTAAAATAATTAACCAACACTTAGCATTTCAGTACGCAATATTCAGTATTACCTACTAACCTTTAAAAATTACTTACTCTTATATATTTTTGGCCTTCTCGATGACTTTTATAACTTTTATTATAATTAGAGTCCAAGGGGGAGGCGTTGGCCGTTAGTTTGGACATTGCGAAGGCCTTCGATCGGGTTTGGCACAAAGCGCTTCTTTCGAAGCTCCCTTCCTATGGGCTTCCCGAGAAATTGTGCAATTGGATCACCAGCTTCCTTGCAGATCGGAGCATCAAGGTCGTTGTAGACGGTGCATGTTCTGACTACAAGCCTACAAACGCTGTTTCTTCTGCAAATCAATGATATGTTGCTAACTGGTAACATTCATTGCTATGCGGATGACAGCACTGATGATGCTCTATACACCGGCCGTGCCAATATTTCTCGGGAAAACGTCGCCGAGTACTGGAACAAACTTGTGTCTGAAGTCGAGTCTTTGCTGAACAAAGTCTCGAATTGGGGGCGACTAAATCTAGTCCAGTTTAATCCTCAGAAGACAAAAGTTTGCGCGTTTACCGCTAAAAAGAATCCCTTTGTCGTATCTCCTCAGTTTCAAGGCACTCCCCTTCTTGCCTCAGCCAGTATCGGTATCCTCGGAGTCGACATATCGAGTGACGTGCAGTTTCGTGGTCACTTGGAAGAGAAGGCCAAATTGGCCTCTAAAAAGCTCGGAGTGCTCAGCAGAGCGGGACAGTATTTCATGCCGGCACACCGCCTGCAACTTTACAAGGCGCAGGTTCGGCCTCACATGGAATACTGTTCCCATCTCTGGGCAGGGGCTCCCCAGTGCCAGCTCCTTCCACTTGACCGCATCCAGCGCAGAGCGGCTCGAATCGTCAACGATCGAGCCCTTTCCGATCGGCTCGATTCATTGGCACTGCGAAGAGATGTTGCATCCCTTTGCATTTTCTTTCGCATCTACCATGGGGAGTGCTCTGAGAAATTGTTCGGATTAATCCCAGCCGCCAAATTTCACGAATGCACATCGCGGCAGAACTCCCGATACCATCCACACCATTTGGATGATTGGCGGTCCACCACTGTGCGACTTAGAAGATGTTTTCTTCCTCGCACGACTTCCTTGTGGAATCGATTACCATCAGCGATTTTTCCGGACCGATACGACTTAGGAACCTTCAAGAAAAGAGCGTACTCCTTTTTAAAAGGCCGCCAACGCATCTGCAATTCCCTCCCTGGTGTTGCAGTTGTTTATGGGCCGCGGTAGCCACTTACCATCAGGTG